GACCAGTCATACTTCTAAATTCCGTTTTTGACGGACTTTCATTTAGTATTAAATTCATTTGATATATCTTAAAATATGAGCTGAAATAATATTACTTTCTACCCTGTAAGATCTGTGAACACAACATTTTTTACAAATATCGCTTTTGGTTCCTTCAAGGATTTGCTTTTAATAAACGCAACCATAAGTCAGAAAAAAAATCTAAACATATATTTGGAAAAAGCGTGAAATGCTGATTCTAGTAGGCTACTTTTGATTCTTTTGAATGAATTATACATGATCGAAAACTGACTAAACATGTAATGCAAAGATTTTTGCAAGAAGTGTAAAAATTTTTCCTAAAAAAGGTGCATAATATTCTCACATGCGTATCTCTCTTATTTCTTGAGCTATCACCTTCATTTTTACACCATAAGTACAGTTTCAAATGCTCTTTAAAATGCCTATTTATTTGTTGAAAATACTTGAGTGGTTGCAGAGATATATCGATTACAAAACTTCTGTGAACTTTTTGTACATACCTTATTAGGTTTCGGTCTTATGTAGCGGTCTAGTTCGGACTAGTCTAAACGATAGAAATATGTGCAGAAAGTTAGATTCGTACATGCATACCTTGTGTTACTTACTCGTCGTCTACCCGATTGAGCCATATGATCTAGTGATCAACTTTTACATGTCAATACACATCTGAAGACACTAATTACTACAGTTTGACTCAGCGTTTTCTCAAGTTTTAATATTTATAGAAACTACTTGTAATAAAATCGAAAATTAGTTACATAAAGCTAAGCAAAATTAATTCAGAATTTTTTTAATTTCCTTCAACAAAATTTTTTTTTGATTATCGACATTTGGAAAAAATTATTTTCTATTGGAAAAAACAATTAAAATTTAAATCAAAATCAAAATAATAATATATATTTCAAAAAAAAATCTTGCTTTTCATCTCATGGTTTATGTTTATCTTAATTTAAAATATTTCCTATTAAATTTGAAAATGAACTATGATTCCACCGTTTAAATCCATTTTTAAATTCAAATCATTAGGTTTTATATTGAAATAAAATAATATCCTCATATCAGTGCATTAAAATTAATTTTTCGAATAAAATTATTCTTGATTGTTATTACAATTTAAAAATTTAAAAGGACATAAATAGCCAACTCTCATTAGATACATCGCTCTAGTCCCAATACAAACTAGTCAAAACGAATTGTCCGAATGATTAAGTACAAGCAATAAAGACTGTTTGGAAGGATAGACTAGCCTGGACCAGAATTAGCATTACTTTCTCGAAAACGACTAGTCATGACCAATATAGATGACTCTTCATACTAGTCCGCGTTACTCATTGAAAACAGTTCCGACTAGTCAGGTATCCAATATTGTCGGCTTGAATGTCCTAATCCACCTATCGCCTCCGTTTCTTCTAGTTTTTGCCTTCAAGTTGACGCGTCTGGACAGTATGCACATACAAAACGGACTAGCCATGACAAGATTAGAGCATGTTTTGGACTAGTCTATTTTAGATGCAAGACGTCCCTCGTGAAGACGACTAGTCTTGACTTGCTGCAAATCATTTCAGACTAGTCCAAACGGCAGTGCAGACATTTTAGACTAGTCCAGACGGGCACTACGGACACTTTAGACTAGTCATGTCGGGCGTCACCCCTTATTTTTTGCTCGCCTGGGTTTCTATATTATCAATATCAGTATAGAAAACTAAGAATAAAAATATATGTATAAGCATATAAGTTCAAATAAATCAAATATTATATCGTTTTCTATATTATATTTATAGAAAAATATTCCCAGGCATATGGTAGAAAAAAATTAATTAATATATTATTTTCTATATTGTCAATATAGAAAGAAACCATATGGAATAAAATAATTTCTGTATTAACGATATCAATATAAAAAAATAAGGAATACAAAAATATATGTTCCAGCGTATAGTAGAGGATAATAGAAAAAAATTTAATTTTTCATCTTGTGATAGTTTTAGAAAAATTTGGACATCAATATTTTTTCTGTCGAAATATTTTGTGAAAAAAAACGTTCTCTATTATGTGAAAATTTCCAAGATACAGCTGTACCTTGACTAATCTATTATACAAAGCATTTGTGAAGTCAAAAATGATTTTACGGTTACAATAATAGAAAACATTGACTTTCATAACACAACATTATGTATTTTGTACAATTCTCCATAATAGAAGCTATTGAATCAACAATTCTCAAATAAGTAAAAGAACATGATAGATCACACAGAATCAAATAAGAGCAGATAATACTTGGATTATGTAATGCTATAACTTTCTTTTGTTTATGAATCCTATTTAGTCAGATAAAATCAGATCAGAGTCCTTTACTCTGTTCTTATATATTTCTTAATCTCAGAATCTAATAAGATTTCCAATGACATCTTTTATTCTGAATCTGACAAAAGCTTTAAAAAAATGCATCTATTTTTACTGTCTCTTTTTGATCTCTTCTAGTACATTTCTCTTTTTTCTTTCCTGTCTACTTTACATCTCATGCATATCCCTTCTCTCTTGCATTCTTTTTGTGCATGGCGTCGCATCTAGTCTATTTTCAATATTCTTGTTCAGAATCTTCGAGAAGATTATTATTATCCCGAGATTTCTATTACATATATCCGCCCTTGTGCCTATGATATTCATTATGTTCAGAAGAATTCAGTGAAAACCCTGCCAGAATCAGTTTGTGATGAGCACTTTGTTCAGGGAATTTTTTGTATTTACTGTTCTAAATAAAGGAAAATTATAATTCTAATAATTATTTTACAAGACTAAAGAGGAAAACAATCTAATTTGGGCAAGAATACCAGTTCAGCAATCAATATCATAGAAATATGAATACATGTTATCATATTATCTCCAAAAATTAGCTTGGGCATCCGAGAGTTAAATACACATAAGTTTTTGAACATAATTAAATCTACGATTGATATGAATTAGTAGCATATTAACTGATTGCTTTATAAACTTTCCCGTAAAATTCAAAGATAGGCACTTCCATTCTGTCCTGTTCCTACTCCATTTTAACTCTGACGAGAAAAAGCATCAACTTTGGAGTTGGAATTGCCCATCTCTGATATCAACCATTTCAAAATACTTACTCTTCAGATCCTCCTGAATATATCCATAACATGCGAGCTTACAGAAGACTTTTCAGAACAAGCACTACATAAGGATTATAACATGATCCTCATAGAAGATACTCATTATTTTTAGATTTTCAGATTTTGACAGAGTATCTTGTTTAGTCACCAAGATTCTCTTCGAGGACCCTTATACAATGGTTTGAAGATGGTGTTCATCAAAAGTTAAAAATAGCATTTTAAAACACTTTCTTTTCAAAGCCCATAAAATCCATAGATCCCAATGTTTGTCACTGGAAAGCTCCGTTCGGATTGATATCCATCTTTTCAGCATTTGCAAAAGTAGAAGCCCTCTCAGATTACATAGATTCGCGTAGAATACTCTCAACATTGTTCAGTTTCGCCTGTATCCAAGCCTTCTCATGATCTTACTCAGAGTACATCACGGTTGTTCTTCGAACAGCTTCACATAACTTACCAAAAGCCTATGCAAATACTTAGGAGATTCTTCGGCAGATCTACATTCATCATACAGAAAAATCATGTATTCGTAAGGTTTCCTAAAAAGCATAGGGATTAAGTTTGATATTATGTTGTTCAACGATTCGATATTCTTCTCACAACACGTAGATAGAATCTTCTTTGATGTTCATATAAATGAGCATTCTGCCAAAAAGATTCTGAATTCTTGCAATTCTGAATAAAATCCTCAGATCCTTATGTTTTTCTATCAAAAACTTACATCAAATTAGTATTACTCTTTCTTGGAGAACCTTCTTACAACAATCTCAAGGTATTATTTTTATGATCAAAAAGATCTTGGCAAAAACTAGAAGTAACACAGATGTAAGAATCGTTACCAAATCCTTTTTTCTCATAGAAAACTAGCAAAATACTTCTGAATTTTTATCTGTGGAATTAGCATTCAAAGATGAATGTCATATTTGTAGCGCTTGCTCCCACGAGAGACGAGACCCCTTCGATAACGACGATTTCTTTTCTTTTTTGTTCATTGTAGTAATTCCCAATATTCCAGTCGATGCCCGATGGGCACAGATGGGAGTGACTGTTGCTGGAGGTCATGGACGGGGCAGTGCTACCAACCAACTCTGCCGCCCTGAAGGTCTCTTCGTTGATGATGATCAAACGATGGTCATCGTTGATTACTTGAATAATCGTATCATCCAATGGAAGATGGGCGATACGAATGGGCAAGTAGTAGCTGGTGGCAATGGTCAAGGAAACCGATTGGATCAATTGGATCGACCAACTGATGTATTGATCGACAAACAGACAGATAGTCTCATTATTTGCGATCGATGGAATCGACGAGTCATACGATGGCCTCGTCGTAGTGGTACAATTCAAGGAGAAATCCTCATCGACAACATAGCTTGTTGGGGATTGGCCATGGATAATCAGAGATATCTCTACATCTCTGACTACGTCAAAAATGAAGTAAGACGATATGAAATAGGAGAAAAAAATGGAACTCTTGTGGCTGGTGGCAATGGCAGAGGTGCTGGTCTCAATCAACTCAACGACCCGAGCTACATCTTTGTCGATCAACAACAGACTGTCTACGTGTCAGACTACTACAATCATCGTGTAATGAAATGGAATAAAGGTGCAAAAGAAGGAATTGTCGTCGCTGGAGGTCAAGATGAAGGGGAAGCTCTGACACAATTGTCGTACCCTCAAGGACTGTTCGTCGATACATTGGGTACCATCTATGTAGCAGACTCGTATAATAATCGAGTGATGCGTTGGCCTAAAGGAGCGAAACAGGGCACTGTCATTGTGGGTGGAAATGGTTCCGGAGAAGGAGCAAATCAGTTCATCTATCTCCGAGGTTTGTCCTTCGATCAACAAGGCAATCTCTATGTCGTCGATTATTGGAATAATCGCGTTCAACGCTTTTCAATCGAATAGACTCGTCGTGATAGATTTTTTTTTGCGTTCCTTTCGTTTCAAATAAATCACATTGAATAGATGAAATGAATGGCTTATTCTATTCGCGCGCGCGCGACCAGGAACCATCCTCGTGGAGCCGTGGCGAGCGTAACGCTCATGCACGCACAGGACAGACTCATATCATTCATACCCTCCCGCGAGAGATATGTCAATGAGTCTGAATAAGCCTGGTCGTGTGCCACGGACACCAAGACAGTTCCTGGCCGGGCTTTTAGGGACTGCCCGGAAGTCCTTCATAAAAGACGAAACCCTAACCCTCAACGGACAGAATTCACTCTCATCTCCCACTAACACTCACTTTTGTTAGTCTCATTCTCACCCTCCTCAATCTCAATGTCACTATCAATTCTCAATTTTTCCTCTCCCTTATTCTCAACTCAAAAAAAAAAGAAATAATTACTCACGTGCTTTGACATTAGATGATGTTGTTCATGTTGGACGATGATAAAGAAGACGCGATGATGTTGAGGACTAAAAAGAAAAGAAAAAAATTTTAATCAATCTTATCATATGAAAAAGAATTTGTTAAGTTACCTCACTGTTATCATTTCTCTTTTCATTTTTGAATACCTTAAATGAAAAAAATATATATATACGAAAGAAATTTTACTTACTTTTAATATTTAATAGCTGAAATAAAAGAAAAACAAAATATCAGTGGGGGACTTACTACCCTCCATATTATTTTAAAAAGAAAAAAGAAAAAAAAAGTAAACTAATACCTACATTTTTTTATTGTATTGCTTGTTAGTGATTTGTTTAATTCTGTAACGTCGAAATCAACCTAAAATATAAAACAAAATCGTTATTATTTGATTCAAATAATTGAATGATTTCTTCGTTGAAAATCATTCATTTTTATACCCCCAAAAATTGGTTTTTTTCTTGAGCGAGAAAATATTCATTATTTTTTTTCTCGTCGAAAAATAATCAGACGTCGAGTTTAATCAAGCTTTAATCTAGACATACACATATATTGAGATACATTCGATCACAAATATCTCAGTGTATATGTGTGGATAAAGTTTAATTTTTTTCACACATTAATTGTACATGTTGATCATTGATCATCAATGAGAACATGGACGATGACTTATGGACGAGAGAAGAAAAAAAGAAATATTGCTCTCTTGGCCTATTTCTTTTTTCTTTTCTGTCTCTCTCACATGTTTAGTATGCGTACAGAGTTGACGAATACACACTCACATGTAAAAGGTATGTTGTCATTTTCTTGTAGGGTATTTTTCTTTGAAATAGATTATACATGTTGTTGAATCAGCTCTGCTGCTTGTCAAAATCAATGCTTTCTATCAATAGGTGCAGATTACTATGTAATGTCAGCATCAATGACTTAATTTGATTGTGAATTCATTCGACATAAATTCTTTGGACATCATTTAATATGAAAAAAAAATGAAATTTAAATATATCGTGCTAAACCATTATATTATTTTATTTTATTTTTATTTGTTATATAAAATATAGAATATTAAGTTACACGAACTGTCGGGCAATTCCGAAGCCGAGTTACGATCATTTTTATGAAGCTTTAACCGATTGAATATTAGCTGGAAAATTAAATAGAACATATTTCAGCTGAAATAATACAACAGCAATGAATGAATCTTCAACATGGGAAAAACAAAAGATTAAGATAATATATTTACATAATATTGTTTTTAGTGGTTTGGAGAATGTTTATGTTTTATAGATAACGCTGATGAATCCATGTATACAGTTAATTTAACTAGTAATCAAATAACAACGTGGCATTCTTCGTTCTTATTACTTTCATCATCAAAATATGATGACAGTTCATTACTTGATTTGCCCATTAAATACGACTATTAAATGAAAATGTCAAGATAAACATTCATATATAAATGAAGAAAATAATAATACACCAAATTCAAAACGTTTCAATAGTGCTACAAATAAGAATGTATTAGATAACAATATTGCTATAGGTAAGCTGGAATGAATAAATTTTTTCGAATTTAAATAATCAAAAGATTAAAAAAAAATTCTATTTATTATTGTAGAAAAATAACACAAAATATTAGAAAAAGATAATTAGTACTGAATTGAAATGAAATTAAAAGAAACTGAACGAAATTATTGTTAATTGCCATGTTATTAAATATTATTCGAGTGAGATAATTATTCAATAGAAGATATTTTATTAGTTAAAAGACTCAAAAAAGACAAAGAATAGTAATTAGTGGAATAAATCTTGTCAATTAATATACTACTAATCGAGAAGTTTTCATAATATTGAGAATAATAATTATACTCCCCTGGTGACCAATATCTTGTATTGTGAGCAAGAATAATTTTTAAAATGCATTGACTATTCAAAATTCGAGTTCAAAATTTTTTTAACACGATTTGGCAAAGCCTGTCGAGTTACTTCTGAAAATATATTGTGTTTTTGATCTATTCGAATAATGTTATTATGGCAAAAGTTAGATTTGCAAAAAAAATCATAATATGATCAAGTCTCAATAGACTCAATATCTCTCTAAGGTTTTACTCATCATATACTTAGGAAAAAGAATCTATGTATGGTTTTGGAAAAATATTGTTTGATATGATAGCAAAATCCGAATACGAACTCGCATTTATGCTTTGTCATCGGATCGAAAAAATTGATTTTCTTGATAATCAAACAATAGTTTTCAAAAAGAATGCATAAATTTTTTTCTGCTTGCTTATCAGTCGAATAAAACCATTAGAAAAGAATCATCGAGTGCAACAAGATTTGATGTTATTGACGTATTTCAGTTTTCATAGACTATTATAGAATTCTTCTCGTACTTAAACTAATCATTCATATTGTACAGTAGTGTTCGGCATAGGTTAAAATTCTTGTGATTCGACCTGAGTGACACACTGTTATTTGATTTAAATTGCAACAATGGTAAACTAGTTTTAATTTCCTTCCATTTCATTAACTTATCTATACAAATCGTTACTTTCATTTTCGAATGAACTATTTTTTAGTAACCAATTCCAATATTGTTTTTCACATAGTTTTTTTTTTCTAGCAGATTTTAGAACACTTTATGCTAAAACAATGGAAGCGATTCATACGTTAGATTAAAAAAATGAATGCTGGTTTTTATGCTTATCTTAAGGTAATTTTATTTCATTGAATAGATAATGTAAAAAATAAAAATTATTTCGAATAGATTCGTGAATAAAATTGAATTCGGTAAACAACATTTAGCTGTATTTAATGATACAACCTATTCAAGGTTTATTTAAATGCACATTAACCGCATATATTGATTATCAATTATTAATTAATTCATTGGATTAATAGTGTTGATAATTGTCGAGTAAGAAAACGATTCCGACAGTATTAAGTACGTTTTGTGGTCGTTAAATTTTAGTCAGAGTTCCTTGCTGCACATCATGATTATATAGAAAAATTTCAAGTTATTGAACTTCAACAAGAATTAACAACAATACAATCACATTCAACTCGTTTTCTTTTCTCCGATCGTCTTGAATATATGTGAAAAACATTCGGTATAAAAATATATTGCACTGATTCAATTAAGTGATATTCAAAAGTTTGTTTGATATTAATCCATCATCATTAGCAATTGATGATAAAATTGTTGACTGTTTTTATTTTTTGTGGAACTCACATCACGTTTTCTTTTTCGAAGAAAAATAGAAGGAGTATAAGTTTTAGAGGTATGCTAGACGAAAATTTGGACGTTTGCCGAATTCTTACTCATCATATTTTCATTATAATCTATTTCACATTTCTCGTGGCATCTTGATGGTGATCATTTATGAATGCGGTCATTATAGATTTTTATCTTAAGACTAGCAACTATAAGAGATTAGACCCGTATCCAATGAGTTCTACTAGGAACTCCGAGAAAGTCAGTTGTACCAACTACAACTATAGGTTATAGTTAAATATTGTATGACTTTAAGTGTATAAATAGAAAGAAAACGGATATTGAAGAAGTTTTTAGACATGATAAGGATGAAAAACTATGAAAATCATAGTAATTTTAGAAACAAACGGGCACCATTTAATTTCTCATGTATCTCTCATAGTCTGAAGGAATATTTTTCACTTCAGGTATTTTGTATGAATATAATGAGACTAAAGATCATACGTGGGTTCTACATTTTAGGCCTTAACGAGTTGCACTGACACAATCTCTATATTCATTTAAATAAAATTTTTCTTAGTACAACAACTAAACAATTTGGAATACTTTGTTCAATTGATGATTATACACGTATCTTCATCGTTATCATCAATTTCAACATTATCAAACAGTACTCATCATCATAAAAATAATAAAACCGATGAACTTTACCAGTTAGTTAAACTAATTTTCGGTGGAGCATTATTTACGGTAAAGTAAATTAGATAAAAAAGAAAACTGTAATGTTCAATTTTTATTTTAGTTTTCACTTATTCAAACATCACTTGAAAATTTATACATTGATTCAGATTGACGTTCAACTAGCTATCTAAATTTATTAGATTTAGCATTTAAACAGTTTGAAAATTTTCTTTTTTTCTGTGAAATTAATTAATATGGAATAAATAAATAAATATATATATATATGTTGAAATTTTAGTGGTCTTCATAAACCAAAGAAACGATTGAATCGAGCTTTTCATTCAATTCAGAACCTAATGAACATTTAACAAAACAAAAATTAATTGTCCAATCCATTTATTAGAAGATGAATGGTCAAATAGTTTCGATTCAAGTAAACAAATGAGTGTATCATCAAGACAAGTAAGTATTTCAAATGAGAATTTCTCATAATTAAACTAATACATTCAGAAAATTCCGACTCATTGAACAACTGACAAGAAATCGGAAATGTGTATGCTCATAAAGACTAATGCTTCAGTTGAAAGATTATTTAGCCCAGCTTGATCGACATTTAGTCAATAACGAATATATTTATCATCAAGTTAAAACTTTCAAATATATTATTTATTCTTTCTTGTTGTCTGTCTATTGATATTGATTACATTTGAAATAATTAATATTTTAAGTTTGTTTTATTCAGCTTATGAAATAGTATCGTGACTGCGTATTCTGGTTGGTTTGTTTTCTTTATTTTGACTGTAATAGTATATTAAATCATGAGCGAAACGAACGAAATAAGAACTATTGTTTGGTTCAATAGGTGTAGCTACGAGAGAAGTAAAGATGACTTCTAATGAATTAGTTTTAAAGTAATTGAAAACTAGCCAATAATGGAAATTTAATAGATGAACAATTCATACAATTGTGTAGAATTCTATAATCATCTGTAAAGTTATCAAGATAACATAGAGTACAAAAACTTTGACACTAATTATTTCTTTATGTATTGCTAAGTTAAACTTGCATTAATTAATTTTTGTACAGAACAAAATCAATATTTTCGTCATTCATACCTTGTGTAAATTTATTGTGCCATAGAATTTCAGTATTTTTTTTCTGATATGTGAATATGTAATTAGATAAAGGATTTTGTAGAACTAACTTCATGATATAAAGTTAGGTTTTGAGTTGAATAAGTTTTAGCTAGAATAAAAGAAAAAATGAGCCACATGAAAGTTTTGTATTGATTTCAGTTTGGGGTTGTTTCAAACATCTGTTTATCTTACAGAAAATTTGAATTAGAAATAACTCATGAGTACAGATTTTCAAAACAAAATGACCTGAAATTCTAATAAACTGTATTTTCGAAATTCACTATTTTCTCTATTAAATATCTATAACAGGAAGGATCAATTTGTTGTAAGCCTTTACAGTAGAGGTTCTGATTTTGATAAATTTTAGTTTTCTAAAATATGAATTTAATGGTCTTGATCTATGGTTGCCCACGAAGAAAAAACGCTTCAAGTTACGTGCCATCGCGAAGCTGTTTTCCTCATTTTGGACAGTTGCAATCTGCAAAAGCAGTATATAATTAGATGTTCAATATAATTCTTCAATAACGTGAATCATCGAATATTATTCAAGACATCATCAAAATTTTTCTTACTTTTTAGTTTACATATTAAAAAGACAAGATCAATTTTTAAATAAAATCTTATCAGGAACTTTTCTATCTATCGAGGAACAAACATCAGATGAGAATAAGAAAAGTTGACTATCGAAGTATTGTTATTTCGAACCTTCGGTCTCCACATATCGAAATTTTACTGAATCTTTCAGCATATAAACATGTAGTCCCCCTCAAATCATCTAGAAAATAGAATTTTTACTTTAAACTTTGCGCGAACAAAATTCTTAACGAGATTCGCTAATATGGAAAATATAGAATATTCAATATTTCAGGATAGGAAAAAAAAGAACTAGAAAAGTTACAACTTGTCCCAAGAATTAATTTCATGTTCACGCAAAATTTGAATTCGAAAGTCGATTTTTCATGTGACCTGAGTAGGACTACAGATTTCTGTTGAAAAGTAAAGAAAGCTCGGAAAGCAAAACCATTCTAAATTTTTCTATCACTCATTGAATGAACATCATCTCACTCGAAAAACATATTGTTGTTTCAAGTTGAATTTTTATTCGTTCTATTTTGACTGATATGACCTATTTGCCAAAAGAATTTAACAATATTTTTTCAATTTCGACTTCATTTATCTCTTTTTTTTAGGATCCATTTACGAAAGCTGTTCATCATTTGGATTCGTCGTCATTTATACAATCCATTCAAGAACGTAAGTTCGGTGAAAATTATCTTTAATTCTTTCATTTGATTTGTATACTTTTATAATGAATGTATAAACTGATAAAGAAATGACTATCTTTGTTTTCTCAAAACAGAAAACTTGATATGTTATTATCCTTTTTTGTTTCTTG